TTTTTTGTATTCTGGTCTCCGTCATCCTTTGGACATGTACCAAGCATCTCAATCTTTGAGCTTCCACTGTTCCTACTATATCAGGTTCACCATAAAGAGATTGCAGTTCTGTGTTCGTTCTCCGCACCCATCCACCGCACTCTCGCTTCCCACCGAATATCTTGCGTAAGATTTTTCTCTCCCAAATAGCTATTTTGTTTTGTTCTGCTTTATTTAAAGTCCATACTTCACTGCCATAGATGACAATAGGTCTTATAATAGTTTTATACAACCTAGGTTTAGCCTCTCTTGAGCTAACGTTTTAACATCTTTAAGCACCTTTATAAAATTTCTGATGAATTGCAGATAGATTGATGTCAAGCTCAACGTAAATGTAGTAGCTAGGAATGGGTTTATATCAAGGTTGCCCATAGACTGGTTTAGTGCTGCCCGCCCACTGGCGTAATAAGGCCAAGCGGGAAAAGAAAAAGGTTCTTTAGTAACCATTTAAAAAATAAGTTCCTACTGCTTTTTGCGTGGCCATATTGGGCAGTAAGCTGAAGTCTCTCAAAAAGTCCAGGTTAGTTAAAAAAAAGGTGAAAAAATTTTTTAGAACACATCTGAAAGTTTTAAATGGAAAGGAGGGTCTTTCTAATGACAAATTCATAAAAGATACAGCCAGATATGCGTTTTTTATAAACAATAGGAAAAGCCCTTAACTCTTGAATATCTATTTCCCCTTCCTTTTTCCATCTGATTTTCGGTCTTCCCCGTCTCTTTTTTTCCACCAATATTGTTTATAGGTACTCTTTTTTGTATTCTGGTCTCCGTCATCCTTTGGACATGTACCAAGCATCTCAATCTTTGAGCTTCCACTGTTCCTACTATATCAGGTTCACCATAAAGAGATTGCAGTTCTGTGTTCGTTCTCCGCACCCATCCACCGCACTCTCGCTTCCCACCGAATATCTTGCGTAAAATTTTTCTCTCCCAAATAGCTATTTTGTTTTGTTCTGCTTTATTTAAAGTCCATACTTCACTGCCATAGATGACAATAGGTCTTATAATAGTTTTATACAACCTAGGTTTAGCCTCTCTTGAGCTAACGTTTTAACATCTTTAAGCACCTTTATAAAATTTCTGATGAATTGCAGATAGATTGATGTCAAGCTCAACGTAAATGTAGTAGCTAGGAATAGGTTTATATCAAGGTTGCCCATAGACTGGTTTAGTGCTGCCCGCCAACTGGCGTAATAAGGCCAAGCGGGAAAAGAAAAAGGTTCTTTAGTAACCATTTAAAAAATAAGTTCCTACTGCTTTTTGCGTGGCCATATTGGGCCTGAAGCCTCTCAAAAAGTCCAGGTTAGTTAAAAAAAAAAGGTGAAAAAATTTTTTAGAACACATCTGAAAGTTTTAAATGGAAAGGAGGGTCTTCCTAATGACAAATTCATAAAAGATACAGCCAGATATGCGTTTTTTATAAACAATAGGAAAAGCCCTAAATTCAGTATTTTGCTTGTATAATTTTCAAATTAAGTTTTATAAATAATCGGTAAACTGGAGATCTCGGAGCATAAACATTAAGAAGAAAATTAAGAATTGAAATCGAAAAACAATTAAGTTAAAACGGGGCATTTAAGCAATATTGTATAAATGTTTATAACTATAACAATTGTAAATCAGTAAAAATTTGTGAGAATGATGGGCTAACTAGTTTAAGTAAAAAGCTACTTGTTTATCCCAGAGACGAATTATTTAAACAACTGCTCAAGATATGGTCCTAGAACATTTTACTAAAGGGAAATAGATTATTGAAGGTTTCAACTTCAAGAATTCGTGCAAAAAATTAATTTTTTATTCCAAAATTGTTGTTGAAAATGATGTTAAGGTTAACAAATAACACCGTTATTTATTAATACAATTTATTTTAACAAGTTGATCTGGATAGGTGGTTAAAAAATGCATATAAAAAACCTTCTATCGCATGCGACAACGGTTTCGGACCGATCTGTACTATGGACAGTTTAATACCAGACGATACTATCAAACGAATTTCTTGCAACTACTGGTTGCCAAACCGGTAGCTATAATTGCAAAAAAGATGGGTTGAATTGCACACCTTTGTGCATAAATTGTAATGTTGATGATGATGACACAAAATGCTACAACCTTGCTGTAATTGGAATTGACGATGATGAAGAGCAGAGAAAATAGATGACTTATTTGGGGAAACGAGCTATACAAATATTGAAGAAGAAGAAGTAGAGCGTCCAAATAAAATATTAAGAACGGAGGATCAAGACTAGATAAATAATAAAATACTACAATAAATAAATACATTATATAATATTATTATAACACAAAGAATGCAAATAAAATAAATATAAATGAAAGACAAAAGTGAATCAATATTTTTTACCACTCATTAGAGTATATTTTGTTAAGAGTATACCAATTAACTGAATTGTGAATTGTTTCAATAATTTTATCGTGAAACATGAATTATTTTATTAGAGTGAGAGTAAGAGTGAATGATTTATTGTTAATTTACAGATTCAACAGATTGACCTACAGACATGCGTGATATGGCATGATGAGCACGTAGATAATATCTGGATTTAAAGTATCTAAAATATTTTACGACTACAATACTCGACAATTGGCGGGGAAAGCAAAAACAATGAAAATAGTAAAATCAGTCCAAATTTCGCAACAGAAACTTGTAGGGAAGCTTAAATTTTGTAACTTGGTTGCCTTTAATACAATTTTCATTTTTATATATCTAGGGTGTTTCAGTTTATTGTTGCATAACATTAAGATTCGATAGAACTTTTAAAATTAATGCATGAAGTCTATATAAACATGGGTCGAAAAATGGGGTGTTTAAATTTACTTTCTAAAATAGTTTTTTTTAAATATTTCGAACAATATTTGATGTATAACAGTGAATATTGGTATACAAGAGTTTTTTGTTACGACAAAACGAACCATGGGCATAGTTTTACTGTAGCCGCTAGAGGGCGCTCTAATCTGTACCTGTAGTGTATTAAAATGACCGATAATTTTTTCTTAGTGCAATTTTTTGCTTTTTGAATAAAAAAACTGATTCTTCGCACTTTTCAACATAAAAAAGCTCTCCTGTGAGTTTTCGTTATAGTTAGCCGTTTTTGAGATATTTCGATTTTTAAGGCTCGATGCATTTTTAATTATTTATGGAAAAATAATATTTTTTTTACATTTTCGATTTGGGCATTACAAGTAATTAAGATGATCGTTTAGATTGTGTTTTTAAACACAGCAATAATTCCTAACTCCAAATAAACACAAAAAGAACAGAATATTAATTTGTTTAATTTTCCAATATTATTTTTAACAAATTAAATTAATTATTTACAACTAAAATGGTATTGGATAGTTAGGACAAACATACAAAATCTAAAGTAGTTGCTCGAAATGTAAACCCAATTGTTCAATACACAATTCACATCTACGAATGATCGAACGTGGTATAGCATTATTCAAATAAGGCCTTATTTCATGACATGCATTCCTGATTCTGTCTATTAGCATATCTCTTGTGGTTACGGGAGTCTGGAATACTTTTTCTTTTAGAAATGCCCACACAAATAAATCTAATGGATTTAGGTCAGGGGATCGTGGAGGCCAGGCGACTATTATTATCAGTTCTATCAAGATCCCACTGACAAAATGTGATTCTTCGTTCTCCGTCCCCTGGCTGTAGTCCTTGCACAGGTTGCAAATGGTAAGGACGTCTATGGTCATTTCTAAGAACACGGTGAACATGGCTTGCTGAAATTCCCAAGGCACCAGAAACTCTCCTAACACTTGTGGTCGGATCTCTATCAAACTCACGCAAAATCATACGGGTAAATCTGCGCTGACGAACATTTATGTTTTGATCCCTTTGGAGATTTCCAAAACCGTTTTCAATTATTTGGCGATGCACTCTTACAAATACTGACCGAGTTGGATGTCGTCTGTTTTTAAATCTTAGTGCGTATTCTCTGGCTGCTTCTGCTGCGTTTCCATTTACAAAGCCATACACAAAATGAATATCCGCTAACTCTTGATTGCAGAATAAAAATGGCATTTTTATAAAACTTACAAAAAAAAACAGGTAAAAGAAACTAAATTTCGTGCATTAGCAATTGCAAAAAAACGTTTCAGGTTTCAACAGACAGCAAAACTAACTGTCAACTAATTGACGTTTAACCTTATTCTGCTTTCAATTTCAAAAATATTTGCAGGCACAGCCTACTTCTAAAAATTATCGAGATACTGACTTTTTAACGTTATTTTATCATATATAATTAAAAATGCATCTAACCGTAAAAATCGAAATATCACAAAAACAGCTAACTATACCGAAAATTCACAAGAGACCTTTTTTATGTTGAAAAGTGCGAAGAATCAGTTTTTTTATTCAAAAAGTAAAAAGTTGCACTAAGAAAATTTTTTCGATCATTTTAATACACTACAGGTACAGTAGAGAGCGCCCTCTAGGGGTTACAGTAAAACTATGTCCATGGTTCGTTTTGTCGTACCAAAAAACCCTTGTATACCAATTTTCACTGTTATACATCAAATATTGTTCGAAATATTTAAAAAAACTATTTTAGAAAGTAAATTTAAACACCCTGTATTTCGGAAGCCACGCATTTTTCGACCCATGTTTATATAGACTTTATGCATTAATTTTAAAAGTTCTATCGAATCTTAAAGTTATGCAACAATAAACTGAAGCACCCTGTATATATATGTATATGATATTTCATCTCCATGATCTCCACAATCAATCACACATATTTTGAAGCAAAAGGCTGTAAAAATATAGCTTGGGCTTACAATCGAGATCCAACTAAATTTTCAGTGCCACCTCTCAAAGCCTTTCAAGGCACATTTTTTCGGTGCGACCGGACGAATAAATCAAGATTATACGTTGCCTTTCACAAATTCGAACATAAGACCTTCCAGAAATATATATTTATCCTTCTTTACAGGGGCGATATTCACCGAGGACCAAAAGGACACTGCTGTGGAAGTGGCTTTCAAATACGCTGTTTACAAAATAAATAAGGATAAAATCCTGCTGCCTTACACATCTTTTACCTACGATATCCAGTACATTGCTCGCGAAGACAGTTTTCATGCTAGTAAAAAAGGTAAGTCGACTGTAAACACAGGGAATGCTCTTTGCTCTAGCCAGCTATATCCGTAAGATTGAGCAGTTTCATATAATATGAGGGTCGATTGAAAAATTGTGCGACAATATGCTATGATGTAAGTAAATAATTTGAGATGTTTTTTAATGGGCCTGTGGCGTTATCGAAGATCCTGCTTCGAACATGATTCCTGTCTTATCACATACTTTGCAGACGACTAGCATCTTTGGCGTTTTCTCCAAAAGAATGCATCCACTGATTAGGTAGAGCTCATATTATTGTTCTTGATATCAAAGATTAATGATGTTTCGATGAGCTACATATATCATGCTGTTCTGCCTTATTTTCTTTGATATTAATATATTTTGTAATAATATTAATAAACCGTCTTTAATTAAAGCAAAGTGCATATAATAGATCTATAATGAAATAAGAGAACCGCTTAGCTATAACAGCTATTCTTAAACTTAATCATTTACTGCATAAAAATATTTGATAGAAAAGTACAGGAGCACGACACATAACTGAAAGGAAGAAAATGAGCAAGAAACTGATCAGCACAAATATGTCGTAGCAATAAAGTATATACTGTAGAAAAACGCGTTTAAAAAGCTTCATTGAATAGAAGAGTTCTTAAATGTTTTCTAAGTTGGGCCATCTCGAAACTTGAGATAGTACAGACCAAAATATGTGAATTCACCTAATCATACATCAGTCCAAAAGTTGATAATTTGCGAGATACAGGGTGCCAAAGTTACAATTTAATTTTCAATTTTTCCTTGTTGCTGTATACAGCAACTGACCGAAAATCTTATTTTCCCATATTTCCACAACAAAAAAGGTTAACTTGAGTATCTAAAGCTAATAGTTTTCGAGATATTTGTTGTTAAAAGTTCCTGTGCATTATTTTTACCATGATGATAAAACATTTTTATAACATAATAATCAAGTTGTTTTGGATAATATCTCTGTAGCGTTGCTATGAGGATGGCAACAAAACTAATAAACGGAAACAATTACTACAAAAATTGTTCAAAATGAACACCATCTTGCCTAACACACTGTCGAGCTCGACGAACTAATCCTTGATGCACTCTCCAAAGCATTTGGATCTTATAATTCATTTCCTGGCTATGGTGGAAAATTCTTTGTCGAATATCATCTACAGTTTCCACTGGCGTATTGTAAACGCGTCGTTTTAAATCGCCCCAGAAGAAGAAATCCATAGGATTTAAATCTGGTGACTAGGCGGCCACGATACAGGTCCGGATTGGCCCATCCACTGGTCTGGACAAACTCTATTGAGGTGCTTTCTAACTAATATACTAAAATGAGGTAGAGCGCCGTCGTGCACAAACCACATATTCATGCGTGTTTGTAATGGGAGATCTTCCAGCAGAGTAGATAATTGTTCTTCAAGAAATTGTAAATACCTTTGGCCATTTTGGTAACTCAACGGGTCCTATTAAATATTGTCCAATTATTCCTGCCCATAAATTAATTTGAAATTGTACTTGATGACGGGCTTGTATTATTGTATGAGAATTTTCGTCTGCATAACTGTGAAGATTATGCGAGTTAATGGGCCCATCCCTTCCACCAAATCCTGCTTCGTCCGAAAATAATATTAACGAAGTAACACCATTGTCGTGGTTAAATTAAACGTCCTTAAGAGCCTTGTAACATAGTTCTACCTCTGCGGGGTCATCATCCGCGCTTAAACTATGTACTTTTTGCAGGTGGTATGGATGGAGCAGTTGCTCTTGAAAAATGGTATTTGGAAACTTGAAATTCTCGAACTACATTCCTAACCCCAGCTGTAGGATTTTCAAAGACAGCATCTAAAACATTTTCTTCAACTTCAGCTGTACGTACAGCTCTGGGAACTCCATATGTCGGGCTATATTTTGAGCAAAAATAGCAAAATAAGGCTATAATCATTTTTTACGAGTTCCTCGTAACCGCTGATCGATTCGTTGGAAAGACTTTGAATTAGGCAGGTGTCTATTAGGAAATCTTTCAGCGTAGAATCTTCATGCTTTTAAAGCATTACATCTTGCCAATCCGTACATTAAATTCATATCAGAATATTGATCAAACGTATACTCCATGATGTTTAACAACTTATTGTAAACTTAAATTATTCATGAAGCTTAAAGCAATCTGATGACAAACTTTAAAATAGAAAATAAAATTGTAACATTGACACTCCCAACCTTTCGCAGGCAACCTATAGAGGCAGAATTTTTGTTATATAATCCAAGTTATTGAACAACATGCATGCATCGTATAAGAAGTGACGAACTATGAAGAACCACTGTTAATGAAGATATGTTATGTATAAAGGACAGGTATTCTATTAAATGTGCCATCTTTAACCAGCCTAGACAATTTCTGTTAGCATCTTAGATCGATATAAATTATGTATATAAGGTTATTCAAATGTTCGCGAAACCTCAAATTTTCATCGATTTCAGTTTGAAACGGTTATTTTGAATAAATTATATTGATGTGGTGTGAAGTGATGCCTTTGGCTCATTACAAAAACAATAAAAAACAAATATATTGCTTGTGTAATCTGAGTAGGGGACGTAGCATAACGCCCTTCTACAAGTTATTACTATTATTACTGAATAAGCGTTCTGAAGAGGCTTTGCAGATGACCCCTTTCCCGTGGTGACTGATAGGCTCTCCCGTAATTCCACATTGTCAACTGGAATGTCCCCAGATTCCTGTCTTTGCTCCAAAATTGTTTCTTTTACACAATAATAGCCATAATACTGGACGGATCTCTATGGTGACATGGAGAATTCTTCTATGACTATCAATAATTGATTCCTTATGATAAGCTCAAGTTGTCCTCATGACAGGGCTGGAGTTGTTTCCGCCATTTTCCCGAAAATCTCGAAATCCGCCAATCATTTGTAAAAAATACAAGCAATTTTGTTGGTAATGACATTCTTTATCATTTTCATTTTATAAAAAATTGTATAGTTCAACAGCTTACGATAAAATTTGTGTAAAAGTATATGTAAAGATATTTTCGTTTGATAAATTAATGGACGGACGTAAACTCACTCCACTCTCGGAATGCCCGGGTGGAGGGTGGAAACAAAATCGAAGATAAAATTTGTTCCACGAACATATAAGAGATTAAGAACAACATTGATGCTGTTCATCACTACTTGCAATCCAATCGTCCCGCCATGCTTTTCTTGGCGGAGACAAAAATCTCAGACTCTGCACCGATTAGCCATCTTAGTTTCCCAAATTACGAGGTGCACTCCAATTTGAGAAAGAACGGGGAAACTGTAGCTTTTTTCCACAGCAGTATTTCCTGCTCCAGAGAAAAGTCAAGTATACTATTTCAGGGAATCCATTTTTTTACTGCCACATGTAAGTATGGAAAATGTAATATTTTAGAATTAGTCACTCACTTCCATCCATGCACTGGAGATTTCGACACTTCGTAGCCTCAGAAACGGTTGCAACGATTTTAATAAAAAGGGGGGTGATGTCATGAACCAGCATTATCCATTAATGTAAACAGTCAGTGACAAAATCGCCAGGGGAGCAGACGACGAGGAAGAGAGTGACATGATCTTCATAATGAAAAAGCTACGAACTATCAAAAAATATTACATTTTCCATACTTGCACGTGGTAGTAAAAGTGGATTCACTTTAAACTGGTATTGTCATAGATAATGTTTATAAAGTTATTTCCACGTGAAATAATGTTATATGTGGATTACGTGGACATTACACGTAGCGTGCAGAGTACGTCTCGCGACTGCTTTGATACGAATTTTCAACTTTCCCTCTCTATAATTCCAGGAACCCTCAAAACGTGAAAGACCTTTTTTGCAGTTGATTTTATTCTCTACAGAAATAGCAGTTTTTATACTCTTAGATTCTTGGTTTAGCAATTATAAGCAGAAATATAATTACATGTACCTTTACCCTTTAATTCCTCGTAATATGTTGACTATATAACAAATTTTTATTCCTTTACTTTTTTCCATAGTTGGTTTTCCAAATTTTGTATCAAATGTGTTTATCAAAATGGCAGAAAATGCTCCAGCCCTAACACATTGTAGGATTTCTTTATACAAAATCTACGTATCTCTTGACCTAGATCAGCAGCGATCATTGCTTTGTGTGAATACACGTTGAAAATGAATGTATTACAGTAAAGCAGTTCAATGCGTCTATCGCACCGTGTTGTACCTTAATGAAAGCAAGAAAAACATTGATGGGAGTCAACCTTTGTTGGAAGCCATTAGTCTCAGCTTCATCCAAAATTGCTCATGGCTATACACATTATTCCAGATACTGACCAAGATATTTACGTCACGCTGTTACATAGTACGACATGCTCTCGGTCGGTGGTACAGGCCCCTAACAGATGCTACTCTAAATCAGTCTCCTTAATTAACTTTTGCGTACGTAAACAAATGTTAAACAGATTAACCAATCGGGAATGCACAAGATGGTGTCGATTGAAATTAATTAATCATTTAAATCACCAAGAATAAAAAGGTCCAACGTAGTACCGCTTTCTCACAACCTGTATGATAGTGGCTCAAAAACAAGTTTTTGAAGGCTTGCTCTTAATAAAAATGTACTGTTGTTTGTCATCGATAAGTTGAATGATTTTTGAGAGCAACACTGTCTTTTGTTTCCGTTTTCTCTTAGGTTTGATACCGGATTAAGTGAAGAAAAAGTTATTAATTCTGATAAGTTTTCAGGAAATCGGCTGCAATCTAGTTATAGGAACAGTATTGAAAACAATACGTTATTTCAGAAACTGTTTTTTACAGGAATTAAGCAAAAAGCTTTCCAAAATCACTAGTTTTGATCCATTATTATGTTGGATGCAAAAAGCAGTAATATCACGTTAGGGCTCATCCGTCCCTGAAAAGCTAACTACTAGGCTGTCAAAACCTGTATCCAAAATTTATTTAAGAAAAACTATTTTTTAGCGCCGCCCTTCAAAAGC